GCTGTTACAAGGCTTGTTCCCCCTGCCTGGAGTGTTCTCACCTGGCCTACTTGGGTGGCACCCAGATGGGCTGTCCACTGATTCCTTGTGGGGTGGACAGAAAAATGGCTCCACATCCAAAGATGTCCACGTCCTAATTCTGGGAACCTTTGGCCATCTTACCTTACATGGCAAAAGAAACTTAGAAGCTGTGATTAAGTTGAGGATCTTGAGATGGGAAAATTATCCTGGACTATTTGGGTGGGCCCAATGTCATCACAAGGGTCCTTATAAGAGAGAGGCAGGAGAGTCCGAGTCAGAGAAGATGTAACAATGCAAGCAGAGATCGGAGTGATGTGACCAGAAGACAAGGAATGTGGGCAGTTTCTAGAAGCTGGAAAAGGCAATGAAATGGATTCTCCCCAAGAGCCTCCAGAAGGAGCGCAGCCCTGCCCACACCTTGACTTTAGTCCAGCAAAACCCATTTCGGATTTCTGACCTCCAGAACTGTAAGATAATAAATATGTGTTGTCTTAGGCCACTAAATTTTAGCAATTGGTTACAGCAGCAATAGGAAACCTATACATCCCGTTTCCTCCACTGTGGAGAATGTGGGGCTCTCCAAGGCTGAAACTATCTTGCTCACATCCATGTCCTTTGCAGGGCCTCCTCACCTAAACCCTGACACCTCGGAGGCACTCAGGAACTGTTTGTTTGAATTAACTCAGCCAGGGGAGGCAGTGAGGGCCAGAGAGGCATGGCGAATGTGTGAGGCCTCCTGGGGGCCCCTCTGAAGGAATCAGGGTTCCTATGGGTGCTTACCTTCTCCTCAGTTTGCCTAAGATTGGTCATACCTCCAGCTGCAGGGATGGTAACTGTGCCTGCGCAGGATGGGGTGGGGTCATTTTAATGCCTGGGCAAGGAGTCCCAGACCCAAGTGCTCTGCCCAGGAAGCAACTGGAGCCCTCCATAGCCCTGCTCCCACCTGTGCAGGTGCCAGCTGGGCCCAGGTGATAGGCTCTAGACTGCAGGCTCCGAGAGCTCCTCACCTGTGGGGCTTCACCATGCCCTCCTGCCAGGGCAGAGATACTCACACAGTGCCAGAGCTGGAAGGCCCTCCAAGGAACAGCCAAGTCCCCTCCCCAGTCCCAACTCTGTCACTTTCCAGGAGGGAAAACTAGGCCCAGAGAGGGGAGAGGCTTGCCTGAGGTCTTACAATGGCTCAGTGGCAAAGCTGGGCTGAGAACCCAGGTGGCTGGCCCCAGGTCACTGAGCTTTCACTCCCCAGAGCCGGGAAAGGGAAGAAAGGAGACACGTTGCACCTCTGGGTGTAGCAGAATATGGGGGCGATGCAGGGTTTAAAAGGCATATTTAGCAATGGAGATGTTCTAAAAAGTGATTGTGGTGATGGTGGCACAAGTCTACAAATTTCCTAAAAATCACTGAATTGTATACCTACAATTTGTGGTATCTATATTAAACCTCAATGAATATTAAAAAAAACCCAAAGGCGTTATAACATCTCTTTGGAAAACCCAGCACAAACTACTGGAAGCAAAGGCTCGCATTAATATTTTTGTCCAGTGAGGTGTGGGTTTAAAATGCAGAGCCCCTCGGCAGGCCACCAGGGCATCCCTGGGGCAGACGCTATGGGGGGGTGCAGCACAAGCTCTGGTTTGTCTACAGCTGCCCCCTATCTGCCCTCAAGTACTCACAGTAGGGAGGGAGATAAGGTACAAACAAAAGTATCAGGAATGCCAGGGATATCTGGGAGTGACAGGGATCAGTGTTGCCAGGGGAGGGAGGGAACGGCCAGGTACCAGGGACTCCCAAGTGGGGAGAGGATCCGGCATGAGACAGAGGTCCAGGACTTGGGTCCCAGTCCCCAGCCCCCAACCAAGCACAAAGAGTGCCAGTCACCACGTTAGCCCCTCCAGGTGGCTGCCTTGGGGGCTGTGTGGCTGGGCCTCCCCCTGCTGACATCCATCTATCCCTCCTTCAACTCAATCCATTACCTTCTGTTTACAGCCTCTTCAGACAGTTTTCCTTGGCTTGATGCCAAGCCAATTTGAATTAATTTTCCAAGCATGACCCTGTGAGTCACTATATTAAATGCCTTCCAGATAGTTCTCATTGCTGCATACACACAGTGCATTTGGCCAGCCATCTGCAATCACAATGAGGTGTCCAACACAATGGCGCGGCACCCGGCGCCAGCAACAACAGGCCCAAGAATGATGCTGATGCAGGCCAGGTGCAGACAGACCCGTGGCATGCGTTCTTCCGGAATTTCTTGGAAATTTAAAGAGAGATAGGTCAGGTAACGAAAGACCAGGCAAGGATTGGCTTTCTTTAAAAAAACAGCTTGGGGCCGGCCCCGTGGCTTGGTGGTTAAGTGCGCACGCTCCGCTACTGGCGGCACAGGTTCGGATCCCCAGCGCGCACCAACGCACCGCTTGTCCGGCCATGCTGAGGCGGCGTCCCACATACAGCAACTAGAAGGATGTGCAACTATGACATACAGCCCTCTACTGGGGCTTTGGGGAGAAAAAGCGGGAAAAAAAAAGGAGGAGGATTGGCAATAGAGGTTAGCTCAGGGCCAGTCTTCCTCAGCAAAAAGAGGAGGAATGGCATGGATGTTAGCTCAGGGCTGATCTTCCTCACACACACACACACAAAAACAGCTTTATTGACATATAAGTTACATACCATACAATTCACCCATTTAAGGTGTGCAATTCAATGATTTTTAGTATATTCATAGACATGTACAACCATCACGAGTCAATTTTAGAACCTTTCTGTCACCCCCCAAAAAACCTTATACCCTTTCGCTATTCTTGCTCTACCTCTCCATCCTGCCAGCCCTGGCAACCACTAATCTACTTCCTGTCTCTATAAATTCTCCTAGTCTGGACTTTCATATGAACGGAATATGTGGACTTTAATGGTCAGCTTTTCAAAAGGAAAATTGCCCTGGGTCTGAAGAGCAGGATTGTGGGGGTGGGGGGTGGGTTCCTTGGTATCGAGAGGATGGTAGCCAGAAAAGGGAGAGACCCAACTCATCGTTGGAGAAGAATTCAAAGGTGGGGTGTGAAAGTAATCTCGCCACTTCACCCCACGTGGACCAGCCCCAGCCTCTCCCCGAGGGGAGGGCCCCGTCCCCACAGAGACCTACCCTTCCTTGTACATTCACCACCCCCCGCCGCTGGCCTTTCTTGGGGCTGCTGTCCCAAAAGGAGAGGAGGAGAAGGAGGGCTGTCTGTGTAATTCTCAGCCAGCCTGCCAAAGAGCAACTCCTCCACTTACAGAGTCCGATCCCTGAAGGGGGCCTGCCACCTCCTCAGTTTACTGCTGGCCTCCCCCCTCCTCCTCCTCCCGGGAGCGAATTGGCCTTTCTCCAGTTCACGAGAGCACGGCGGAGGACGTTGTCACCTGACTCACTGTGTAATCCATTAAAATCCGAGCTTCTCAAGGTGGAGGCTTGGAGGTTGTTTGGCCCAGATCTCTGTGTGTGGCATTGACCCTGCCAAGGGTTTATCCAGGCTCTGCTTGCACACCTCCAGTGACCTGCTCCTCACTACCTCCTAAGGCAGCCCATTGCCTCTTGGTAAAGCCCTGTAGAAAATTCTCTCCAACATCTTTTTATGGCTCCTACTTTTACTGCTCAGGGCTTCAGGGAGAAAGTCGAACTCCTCTCCTTGATAGCCCTGAAGAGATTTGAAGACAGATGTCAGCCCCCCTTGAGTCTTCTCTTGTCCAGGATTAGAAAAACAACCACCGCCATAACCGTAATTATAACAGCACTGCCTACATTTATTAAGTTATCCCCTGCAATCCTCACAAAAACCCTGTGAGGGGGGTATTATTAGACGCATTTTACCAATAAGGAAACTGAGGCATGGAGAGCTTCAGCAACCAGCCCAAGAATGCTCAGCTAGGAAGGGAGGGGTTTGAGACTTGAGTCCAGGTCCCTCTGACTCCGAAGCCCATGCTCTTGACCTCTGCACCCACTACACACCCTCAGTGCTGCTCATGCAATTCATTTTTATTGGGCTAGAATTCACATACCATGATATTCAGCTTTTTAAAGTGGACAATTTGGTGGTTTCTAGTGTATTCACAGGGTTGTGCAACCATCACCACTATGTAATTCCAGAACATTTTCATCACACCCAAATGAACTTGTGTACCCATTAGGCAGTCACTCCCCATTTCCTCCTCCCCCAGCTGCTGGCAACCACTAATCTAATTTCTGTCTCTTATGGATTTGCCTATTCTAGACATTGCATATAAATGGAATAATACAATACGTGGCCTTTTGTGACTGGTTTCTTTCACTTAACATGATGTTTTCAGTTTATCCATGTTGCCATATGAATCAGTACTTCCTTCCTTCTGATGGCTGAATAATATTCCACTGAATGGATACACCACAATTTGTTTATCCATTCATCTGTTGATGGATATTTAGGTTGTTTCCACCTTTTTGTTATTGTGAATAATGCTGCAATGAACATTTGAGTACAAAGTATTTGTTTGAACACCTGTTTTCAATTCTCTTGGATATATACCCTGAAGTACGACTGCTGGGTCATGTGTTAATTCTATATTTAATTTTTTGAGGAACTGACAACCTGTTTTCCACCACGGCTGCACCATTTTACATTCCCACCAGCAATATAGGAGGGTTCCAATCTTTCACTTTCTTGATAGTGTCCTTGAAAGCACAAAAGTTTTAAATTTTGATAAAGTCCAATTTATCTACTTTTTCTTTGGTCATCTGTGCTTTGGGTGTAATATCTAAGAAACCACTGCCTAATCCAGGGTCATATAGATTGACAGCTATGTTTTCTTCTAAGATTTTTGTAGTTTTAGGTGTTATATTTAGGTCTCTGATCCATTTTGAGTTAATTTTAATATATGGTGAGAAGTAGGGGTTTCAAATTTACTCCTTGGCATGTGAATATTGTGAAAATTAATGAAAGGAAACCTCATTTAAAGTGAAGTCCCCATGCCAGAAGGGGGAGCTCCCATGCAGTACCACTCCAGGTCAATTACAAGAAAGATAGTAAATTACAGACCCCAACAGAAAGAAGTCATCAACAGAAAGAATCATCAATTACAGGGCCCAACAGAAGTCGTCAACAGGAAAGGATCATTAATTACAGGAAGAGATGTGCATTGCATCCCAAACAGAAATTGACTACTCCAGCTACTCAGCCCCTGAGAAACCATTACCACCCTGCACTCGCTTTTCTCCAATGGACTTTTGTTCAAAACAACCCCTCCCAAGTTCCTCCTTTTTCTCTAGAGAAGAACGTTCCTCTCCCTTGTTTGCTGGATTTGCCTATGGTCTGCCATAGCAGCACATCCCAAATTGCAATTATTTGGCTATTCATTTGGCTGGTAAAATAACTGGCTGTTTTATTTTTAAGGTTGACAATATCCAGTTTTCCCAACACTCTTCCTTCCTCATTTGAAAAGACTATTCTTTCCCCAGTGCACTGTTGTGGCACGATTGTAGAAAATCAATGGGCCATAAATGTGAGAGTTTATTTCTGGACTCCCAATTCTATTCCATTGATCTATATGTCCATTCTTATGCCAGTACCGTGCCCATGCAATTTTTTTTCGGGGTTATTGAAACAATATAATGGCAAGGAAGTATCCTCACTAGGATGTATCCTTGCCAGGATATATCCTTTAAAATAGAAATGCTTTTAATTTTGATGAAGTCCAATTTATCTATTTTTTTTTTTTGGTAGCTTGTGCTTTCCATATCATATATAAGAAACCATTGCCAAGGTCATGACAATTTACCTCTATATTTTCTTCTAAGAATTTTGAACTTTTGTAGTTGTAGCTCTCATATTTAAGTCTTTGATCCATTTTGAGTTAATGGCAAGGATAACTGGTTTGATTTACATTCTGTCTGGCTTAAAGTCTCATTAGCTAAGGCTGTTGTTTCATTTTGAGTTTCTGAAGGTGAAGTTCAGTCAGTGCTCATTCCGCTACAACTTGATCAAGAGGCTTGGGAAAAAAGCAAGACTCCATCAGCGGGGCCTAAGAAGCCTTTCACCCTACCTTTACCCCTTTGGAGGGAGGGGCTGAGCGCAGGGATTTTTAACCACCTCCCACCCCCAGCCCCAGCCCCCTTTCAAATGAACAGACTTAGGCTCTGGAGGGCAGGTGGCTGGCTGAAGGTCACACAGCCAACATGTTCGCAGCTGAACTCCAATTCATGTTTTATGACTCCAAATCCCGTGTTCTTTCTATTATTCCGTGATGCCTGCCTTCAATGAAACAAATAAGAATCAGCCAGGGACAGAAGGCCAATAGGGAGAAACGGAAAGAAGGTGAATTCACAGATCACTCAATGGGTATCTGTTAGTGACAGATTGGACCTGGGAGAATTTCTGGGTCTTTTAGGAAAACTGGAGTAAAGTTGGTTGCAGTGTGGGTATTCCTAAGAAAGAAGGCCCTGCAGAAAAGGCATAAAGGAGTTGAAATGATTTCACCTGCTCAAAAGGCCTAAGTAAATGAATGGTGCTTTTCCAGTCAATGTATGTTCTGTTCAGAAGCTATTGTACACTTGCCCTCAGAACCAAACAGAGCAAATGAAGTGGGCTTCCATCATGGTAGGAGAGATTTAAAATAGCTTTAATGAAGAGCTTCTAGGAGTAGAGTTGTTAATTGAGGAAATTCCTTAGTGATGACATTGAAACAGCCCATCAATTGGGACCCCTTTAGATTGACTTCATCCTCTCCTGAGGCAAGGATCCAGTCAGTCTTGAGCCAGTGGTTACTGAGCATATTACTAGCATGTGCGAATCAGTGTGCCCGGGACACAGGAAAGCAGATTTTACCTCACAGCATTTCCAAATGGTGAGTCATCTACAGAAGACACAGAACAACTAGGCTGCAAATTTTCCTCCTTCCCTCTCTCACGGGAGTCCTCTAAGAGACTCTGCGTCAAATGCTCTACCTAAAAAGGGACTTCATTGTGGTCAGTTGAATAATGGCCCCCCCCAAGATGTCCATTCCTAAGCCGCAGAACCTGTGACTATCTTACCTTACATGGCAAAAGAGACTTGGCAAGGATCTTGGAATGTGGAGATTATTTTGGATTATCCACTTTGCATTATACGTACACCTGAAATTTTTACAATGTTATAAACCAATGTTACTGCAATAAACAAAAAATTTAAAAAACAATGGATTATCCAGGTGGGTCCAATGTATTCACAAGAGTTATTTTTTGTTTGTTTGTTTGTTTTTGCAAATTATCAAGCCCCACTCAGACCTATAGAATCAGAAACTCTGGGGCCCAGCAATCTTTTTTTGTTGTTTTTTTTTTCTTTTGAGGAAGATTGGCCCTGAGCTAACATCTGTTGCCAATCTTCCTCTTTCTTTTTTTTTTTAATCCCCAAAGCCCCCATTACATAGTTGTATATCCTAGTTGTAGGTCCTTCTAGTTCTTCTATGTGGGATGCCGCCTCAGCATGGCTTAGTGAGCGGTGAGTAGGTCTGCACCCAGGATCCAAACTGGCGAACCCTGGGCCACTGAAGCAGAACGTGTGAACGTAACCACTGTGCCACCGGGCCAGCCCCAGAAGAGTTCTTATGAGAGGGAGGCAGGAGGTTCAGAGTCAGAGAGAGAGACAGATTGGAAGATGCTATGGTTCTGGCTTTGAAGGTGGAGGAAGGAGCCATGAGCCAAAGAATACAGGCCTCTAAAAGCTAGAAAAGGAAGCAGACTCTCCTCCCCTAGAGCCTTCAGAAGGAATGCAGCCTTGCTGACACCTTAATTTTAAGACTTCTGATATCCAGAACTATAAGATAATAAATTTGTGTCATTTGAAGTCACTAAGTGTGGTAATTTGCTACAGCAGCAATAGGAAACTAAAACAGTCACTAAGCTAAAGGCCAGCATTAATATTATAGTACAGAACAGAGTGAGGGTAAATACCAATTATCTTAAAGATCTAACTAACTTAGATTCCCTTGTTGCATGTCAACTGAATCCAAGTGATAATTTTAGAATATGGGTGGGATTGGGCCAGCCCTGGTGGCATAGTGGTAAGTTTGGGACACTCTGCTTCAGCAGTCCAGATTTGGTTCCCATGCATGGACCTACACCACTTGTCTGTTAGTGGCCATGCTGTGGTGGCGGCTCACATACAAAAAAAACCCAGGAAGATTGGCAGTGAATTTAGCTCAGGGCGGATCTTCATCAGCAAAATATATATATATATATATATATATATATATATATATATATATATATGGAATAAACCCAAATTAATTAAACAAAACAACCATGTAATGACAAGATAGTTGAGTGTGAGACTTTCATATAAACATAGCTGAATAGGAACTATATACTGAATACATATGCTACGTACAGAAAGCAAGAATTTGTAACATTTTTGTCTGTGTGTGAGTAAGATTAATCCTGAGCTAACATCCATTGCCAATCCTCCTCTTTTTGCTGAGGAAGATTGGCCCTGGGCTAACATCTGTGCCCATCTTCCTCTACTTTATATGTGGGATGCCTGCCACAGCATGGCTTGATAAGCAGTGCATATGTGCACCCCCAGGACCCAAACCCACAAACCCGGGCTGCTGAAGCAGAGACCGCAAACTTAACCACTATGCCACAGGGCCAGCCCCTGTAACATGTTTTTATTTATTTATTTTTTTTTTTAAGATTTTATTTATTTATTTTTTCCCCCAAAGCCCCAGCAGATAGTTGTATGTCATAGCTGCACATCCTTCTAGTTGCTGTATGTGGGACACGGCCTCAGCATGGCCGGAGAAGCGGTGCGTCGGTGCACGCCCGGGATCCGAACCCGGGCCGCCAGCAGCGGAGCGCGTGCACTTAACCGCTAAGCCACCGGGCCGGCCCTGTAACATGTTTTTAAACAGCTTTATTGAGATATAATTCACATACTATACAGTTCACCCATTTAAAGTATACAATTCAATGATTTTTAGTATAGTCACAGATATGTGCAACCACCACCGCAGTCAATTTTAGAGCATTTTCATCACCTCAAAAAAGAAACCCTGGGGGCTGGCCTGGTGGCGCAAGCGGTTAAGTGTGCACACTGCACTGCAGTGGTCCGGGGTCCCCTGATTTGGATCCCGGGTGTGCATCAATGCACCACTTGTTAAGCCCTGCTGCAGCAGCATCTGTCAATGAACACTTGGGTTGTTTCCACCTTTTGCTATTGTGAGTAACGCTGCTGTGAACACGAGTGTAGAAATACCTGTTCAAGTCCCTGCTTTCAATTATTTAAGGTACATACACAGAAGGAATCGCTGGATCATATGGTAATTCTATGTTTAATTTTTTTTGTGTGTGAGGAAGATCAGCCCTGAGCTAACATCCATTGCCAATCCTCCTCTTTTTTGCTGAGGCAGATTGGCCCTGGGCTAACATCTGTGCCCATCTTCCTCCACTTTATATGGGACACTGCCACAGCACGGCTTGACAAGCGGTGCGTCAGTGGGCGCCTGGGATCCAAACCTGTGAACCCTGGGCCGCCAAAGCGGAGTGCGTGCACTTAACTGCTATGCCGCCGGGCTGGCCCTTATGTTTACTCTTTTGAGGAACTGCCATACAGTTTTCTATAGTGGCTGCAACCATTTTAAATTCCCACCAGCAATGCTCTAGAGTTCCAATTTCTCCACATCCTTGCCAACACTTGTGATTTCCAGTTTATTTTTTTTATTATAGTCATCCCAGTGGGTGTGAAGTAGTATCTCATTGTGGTTTTGATTTGCAGTTCCCTAATGACTAGTGGTGTTGAACATCTTTACATGTGCTCATTGGCTTTTTATATCTTCTTTGGAGAAATATGTTTTCAAGTCCTTTGCCCATTTTTTAATTGGGTTGTTTGGTTTTTTATTGTTGAGTTGTAGGAGTTCTTTATATTAATCTCTTGTCAGATATATGATTTACAAATATTCTCATTCTGTAGGTTGTTGCCATTACACTCTGTTGATAGTGTACTTTGATTCACGAAAGTTTTAAATTTTGACGAAGTTCAAATTACCTATTTTTGGGGGCTGGCCCTGTAGCTTAGCCGTTAAGTGTGCGCTCTCCACTACCGGCGGCCAGGGTTCGG